TGTAACCTTTTCTTTTTTTCTTTAAGTTTTAACTCTTTTATGAAAGTGTATACAGCTATTATTAAACATATTCTGCGTTTTATTACACCTTTGAAATGGTTCCATAATTCCCGTGTTACACAATAGTATCACAGTGAACCCATAGGATTTAATTGACTTAATTAACTAAACACAATCCAACCTAATCTAAACCTAATTTAAACTTTAAGTTAATTATACTTCTAAATTTTTTAAACAACGCAATAAATACAGAAAAAATTATCAATGTTGAAAATTGAAAAAAGAAGTACGCAATAATACACTGTAATATAGTTTGTCGCTTAAGTCTTTTGTATATATTTTAATGGCGGACTTTAAGGCTGATATTTTGCTTCTTATTTATAAATCAAATTATAGTTAAAATTATTAACTTTTTAAACGTTAAACATTTTAATATTATTAATTTAATAATAATATTAATAATTATTCTAATAATATAATAATTTTAATATTATTAAATTTATAATTTAGCAGCTAATTCACTGTAACCTTCACAACTTTTTTATTCATGTAAACAAATATGCACATACTTTTGTGAATTTTCTATGAAATTGACAATTAGACAATCTAAGATATTTTTTTTTAAATTAACATCTTCCATTGAACGCTAATTGCATATAATGCGCACTGCAGTCTGTGGTTGTTCATTAAACTGGTCCATTAAGCCAGCCCATTTGCGAATCTTAAACAAACATTATGAAGAAAAATTACGATTTTATATCTGTGCGTAATATTTTTCTTCATTGCTAATGCAAATTACTGTCATTAAGTAATGAATGAAGAGTAACTTAGCGCTCTTTATGGAAAGCATGCATGATTCGAGCGTGTGAAGCTATAATGAGTTCGGATATTTCTAAAGAAATAGTTACAAGGACAAAATATTTGGATTTTGCAACAGTATGCTAATATAGAAATACAATATATAAATAAAATAATATTCATGTTTAGTTTTTTTACATAAATAACAATAAGTAATATTATATTGAATTATTTAATTTACATTCAAATGCAAATAGGTTCTTTGTTTTGTAAATAATCTGTATAACATATATCTTTTTTGTTATAATTATATTAAGACTTTTGTTTATGTATACATTTGTTTTCGTTGAGACATTGATTGTACAAAATCATTTTTATGTTGTGGTTATTACTGTTACTATTGAAAGAAATATTGGTACTCCGGTATTTTGATTTTTATTATTCTATCCTTGGAGAAAGTAAGGTAAACTTATCTCGATAAATTTATGAACCTAACAGTATGATTGGTCCAATATTACAGATTTTGGTGTGCTTATTATACTACATTATTTTGCATTTGCCTTCATTTTTCTTAATTTTTTTTTCCAAAATACCTATAAGAATTTTCTTCTTTATTTACCATTTAAGAAAACAATTACGGTTACGTACATGATATTGAATTTGACACACATTTCAAACATTTAAAAATATCAAAGAGAATAAATATACTATTCCTTTAAGTATGTCCAAAAGCCTACGAAATGACTTGACATTTGTGCATATAATAATATAAGATCAAATTTTTTATTTTCAATAGACGAGTATATTTCTTTTTACAAATATTTTTGAATAATGTACTTTGCAAAGAATATTAAGAGTCATCAGTTATTAATTCAGTAAATCTGCTGACATTAAATTAATTATTAAATGGATTTTTGTATATTTTAAAGCTTAATATCAAGGTCAAATGAAATTCAAGGCGATGAAGTACTTGTCTCTTAACAAATATTAATCAAAAGAAATTCCTGAAATTTTAATTCAAATAAGTTCTTTTACTTTTCATTAGCACTTAAAAGATATTTATCACGTTTTTGGCTTAACTAACTTAGAATCCCTAATACTATATCATTACAATTAATCATTGGTCACGTGTTACCTATTATATCAAAACAATTCCATGGTCAGCAAATAATAAATACTTTAAAGAATTGTTTGACCTTGGTCTGATGATTTAATTATATATGAAAATTAATTTTGCATGTAAAATAAGTCGACACAAATAAAACAGGCATCCGGATAATGACATCAGATCAACAAGTTATTACTTATTACAGTATTTACACAATATTTATATTCAATATAATAACTTAAAAGAATTTACAAAGCCTTTTTATACAATGTATACAAAAGTAATGCATAAAAATCTGTAATAGTTATTGATACATGCACCTGATATAGGAAGAAACATTGTTAACAGTAAATCTTAATATTTACCTAAAGGCTTTATTTGTATTCAATGAAAATGTTCCAATTTGTTTAAATAAATTTGATTATCACTGGTCAAATTATTTTTCCTTATATTAATTCCTATCGCTGGTAAGTCAGAGTGCAAAAACCTTTTAAAAACCACTTGACTTTGGCACCGGCACAAAATTCCACAGTGCTGATTGCTTCCGAGTTCAAAATCTTTGGAACAAGTTCAAGTTGATAATTTAATCACAACAAAATTACAGTTGGCAATCTTATAAGTAAAACGATATATCAGCTGTCAATGAATAATTAAAAATATGATTTAATGTTTAATACATTTTGAATATAAAAATAATTAAATTTATTCGTAACTGCGCTAAATTAAATTATAAATACGAGTATACTCTTACTATATAAGCAAGTAGTTATTGTGCCAAAAAATATTCAGAGGAAGTTGCTTAATCATGCAAAAAGTATTTAACTATAATCTTGATTAAAAGATAAAAGGAAACAAAAGCGAATTTTTAATTTTAATTTTAAATTAGCTTAATAACCAAAAATTGATTTAACTATTATATCAGTTATTTATCGAAAATACAGTAGCTCTACAACAACGCAGATGGCTATGTAATCACCGCACTAAAGTTCATTCCTCCTTCCTTAAGCACCGGTACAGACTTATAAGCCTTAATATATTAATAACAATTGTAAGAATTCGACTTTAATAAATTGATAATTGTTGTACTTTTTTTTTTTTAAATTAATAATATATATTGTCTGCTTTTAAATATTTATTTTTAAATTTCAATATAAAAATATTTTAATTCATCGCAAAAATTAAGCCACAATCGTTAATAAAATAGCGGAAAAAGACTTTAAATTAGCATAAAATGTCACAAGCGCATTTAAATAAATAAAGATACAAACTTTAAAATTGATTATTTTTATTTATTAATTTTTATTGAATTTTTTCATGTATTTTTCCATACGCCATGCGTCAGTATTATTTATTTAAACGAAGCCCTACAGTGGGACAAATTTTAGAAAATTTATTTTAATTCAAATTTTCATTATCAATTTTGTTCTCTTATTATTAAAGTAGGTAATTGTACCGTTCGACCTCTGGAAAAAGTCTTCTAAGATATTCTAAACAAATTCTGTTAGACATCAGTTAAATACCCACTATAAGTGAAAATATTAAATACATTAATTCATCATTATATATTTTACATATAAGATTATCTGTAAATTTTTCTAGATTATCCTAAAAGGATCCGGATATTTTTTTTTAGAATGTCAATCTGTGAGAATGCTTGAATATAATACACCAATAAAAATATATTTCTTAATGCTTTACCAGCGATTTCAATTTCGTGATGATGACTTTTTTGCAGCAGCTGCTGTAAATAATAATATTGTTGAATTAATAACATAAGAAAAACTTACTCTAAGCAATATTAAAACTGAGAAACTAACTATACATGCCAAACATGAAACTCAATAAACATTGTATTAGTAATAAAATTTCTTAATACTATCTAATTATTTATCTTGTGAGGCAAGGTGTATATGCTTTATATGTATTGCATCTTACTATTAATTTTATGAGATATAGTTACTAAGAAGATTGTTAAATTCTTTCGACAACATATTCACAAAACTACTTATCATCACATAAAATATTACATTATATGACTGTTTTGTTGATAGAAATATTAGAAAATTAGAAAATTTATTATTGCAATGGGTCCATTTCTTTGAGCATAAGTTGGTTGCTCCTTTTAAAAGACAGGATGTCGATGATATCTACCATCTACCGGTTTACTATATGTATATTCGCTAGTAGTTTTTATTGTATGAATTCACAACTTATATTTTCTTATACTTATATTTTTCAGAAAAAGGTATATCTTTATCCATTGAATAAATTAATAGTTGCTAATATGTATAATAAATAAATTTAAAGTGTAATCTTATTTATATTCTATTATATTTTATAGTAATAGAATATTCTATTATTATTAATACATACAACTAAAAAAGCTATCTTAACGCTTCATGCTACGTTAAACTATTTATACTTTCCTGTGGTACCACAACGGGCCATTATTTTGAGCTAAAGTGGGCTTTCTTGGTACACAAGGCCGTCACTTCAACCTAATCTAACCTAACCTACTTTAGCTAAACGAAGAACAAATTATTTTTCAAATACAATATTTACGCTAATCGGTTATAATATTAAAAAATACTAATAAACTCTAGAAATAATAAGTACTTATAATATTTATCCGTATGTATCTTCCATCCCTTCTCAAGTTTTACTTAAAATCAAATATAAAGTCGTTTTTACTATACAAAATGAAACTTGTTTGTTTAAAACAAAATCAACCTTTTTTGTTAAATATATTCAATTATGATTGTTATTGTTCAGGGTTAAAAATAGCAACAACAAAATATCGATTTCTAGCGAAACTATTTATAATGCATTGATTTGAATAAATTTTAGCTCATAAATCAGGTCAAGTGTTGCCAACATATTAACGTTTCTGTATGCACAGTAATGAGTTATCATATCATATCAATACAATTTTATTAGATATTAAAATGCAAATTAATCATTAAACTGCATATAATGAGTCATAAATATAGTTATAAGTATGTCAATTTATCTATCAATTCAAACTATTCAAACTTATGAAACAAATGATGTTTATTGTTCATTAAATTGATTATTTCTTTTGTTTGCAGGAAGGTAGTATTGGTCATGAAATGGTCATTAAACCAGTGCCACATGAATTGAGCCCAAATAAAGAACAAGCACATCATATAATATATAAACGTGAAGCACAGCCCTTGGAACATTTAAGTGATTTTGGTAAGTACCAGAACATGTACCTAACCGGTACCTAACTAAGTTCATGTACTCTTGTACGAATGTTGAACCTAGAGTTTTATACTTATAAACAATAAAGCTGACATGAAACGAGTGTATGTAATAAAAATCTAGTTATGATGAATCATATTTAGGTAAAGTGTGATAATAATATATATTCCATATAATATAAAAGAATATATATTAATTTTAACTTTTATTATTTGTAAACTGTTAGTTTTGTTTAATTTGGTTTGATTCGACTTTTGCGTTTATTTAACATAAAGTTAAATATATTTTTTTATGAGAATATGAAAACTTTAGGATTTGCTTGAAGACTGAAAATATAAAAAGATATATTGAATGATTTGAATTCCCAGTATTATAAAAATCTTAAATAATATAGATATATTGTTTTAGCGCATTTGCGATTCCTTTCGTTCGAAGTGTTATATGGTTTTATAACATTGTAAATATCCATTTTCTTTGCTATCATGATGAATTGTCTGTTCACATTGCATTAAATATAAAACAGAGTACCTGAGTTTCCTCGCACGATATCATTTAAGTTAAGTTCGATAACAGATTAACCTCCAATATGGAATATATGCTGGTTGAGACGTTTCAACTTTCCAGAATCTTTCAAAATTGAGGTGATCTACATGATTAATTTTACTTACGGAATCATTTTACTTGTTTCGGAAAACAAATTTGCAACAAAAACGATGTTGTCTTGTATATAGTACTATAGAAATTTGTTTATGTATACAAAATGTATCTTAATGAATAGTGCAAATAATAAACTATATATTGCAAGTAAGCTTATTATTCATTGGCAACATAACTATTATAATGAATGTTTTTCAACAAGAGAATAATGCAATTAACGAAAACATGTTCAAGGCCTATTTAAAACTCTTACAAATACATCAGTAAATAATTTTACTGATTTTTTTATTTTTTAAGCATATATATGTCAATTCTTAATATTACCTCTCTTGTATTTGAATATGTTCATATAACATAATAAGAACTTTTGATTTTTTACTAATGAAAACCTTCTTTTAATACAAAAACAAACAGTCAGAAGTTAGTTACCAAAATTACTAGTTTTAATATTGAATATATCATTAAATATTATTCGATATTATTTAAAAAATAAACCTCCTTTTTCCTTATTTTTTTTTATAATTGCGCTTATTTGCTGCTAATAACCATAAATAGTCCACATAGTAAGACAGCAATATTAGTCACAGATATATTGCAATATTTCATGCAGTTAGCGGTTTTTTTAATGTGTTTAAAATACACATAACGGTTTAATATTTACTTATCTGTAAAATTAATATTTGATTAATATATCCGCTTGTACAACTCCGGTTGTAAAGTTTTAAAGTTCATCAAACTATTGAACCGTAAAACAACCGAAATTCAGCCGAAACCATGCCACGAAAGATACTAGCGTGCATAATTGTTATTACTTTTTATGGTTAAGCTTGACCACAGATTACATCTTCGGACAAGAATTTATGCACATTTATGTCAGTAACCTTCAATGAAACCATTACATAAAGAATCCATACAAAATTAAATTATTAAAAAATACCTACATGGTAGCTTACTTTTTGCTTATGTTAAGAGAAAAATGAGAATTGAATTTTTTGATTGTCGCCAAAAACCCATTAATATATTTTTAAAAGACTGTGGGTGCGTTCATATAGATTATTATAAAAAAATTAAATTAATTTAAAATATAAAAAAAAATTTATTATATTCAGTAGCAAACATTATTTATTTTCGTTTTCACTAGCTTTTATGGAACCCGATGATCTAAGAACAAGTGAGAAATTGGAAAAACTGCAACGTCGCCAAAAGCGTTCAGCAAACTTAGATGACACGGCGGAATTAACAAAAGAAGATGAAGACGCTATGCATGATGAATTGACTGAAGATGAAGAAGAGCATACACGTGCTAAACGGCAAGCACCTTACATCATTTATCCCGAGGTTTTGGTTATTGTGGATTACGATGGTTATCGGTTGCATGGTGGAGATAATTTGCAGGTGAGGTTTCCTGCGATGCTATAAATAATATCTTCATGGCATTTATGTTAAAAAAGTAGCAAAAAATTAAGCAGTTATGAATTTGCTTACCTAATGATATCAGCAATTAAAGATCACAAAATTAAGGTGTGCTGTTTGTTGCACGTTTTAGTGCTTAATGGGTGTATTCTCAGCACATCCTTTTATATATCTAGAAAAATAAAAATTCTATCTTTGCTGTCGTTAAACTGATTTTAAAATTCATTTTACAATGAAGCGACAAAAAATTTTTTGTATTTTTCTACTCTCGTACAATTTCGACGTAAAGCCAATTTCTTTATATTTATTTTATTTTGTTTTTTTTTATTTTTGTATTTTATTGCAAACTTCATAAGCAGTCAAGACATCATTAGTCAAGAGGAGTATCTTTTATATTTCTAAGAAATAGTGCTTACATTTTGTGATATTTTATCTGTGAATTTTTAAAATATTAAATAGTACGTGTCAGTATTTACAATTGATATCTTTATTTATCTTCCAAATAGGTGAAACGTTACTTCATCTCTTTCTGGAACGGCGTAGATTTGCGTTATCGTTTACTTAAAGGTCCTAGAATACGTATAAGCATTGCTGGTATTATTATCTCAAGGGTAAGTCTATGAAGCTTTTTTCTTTAATTTTAATAAGTTGATATATTTTAAAATTTAACTATGGTGCAATTACGACAAAATTTGTAAAAATTATAATAAAGATAATGATTAAAATGTTGGTGAGTTTATATGGACTAGGATTAAAACGTTAGTAGTTTCGTCTAGAATTAATAACAAAAACCAGACCTTTCTTTTTATTTAACATAAATTAATTTAATATGACAACCTTCAGACATTTCAATAGTTAATAGAATAATTTATAAATGTGAAATACAATTTGTCTTATAATTGATGAGATATTAATAAGTAAGACAGACGAAAGTGCCTCTCACCTGCTTTCTTCCTGTCCGGCCAATGCGCGGCATCGCCTTAAATTTTTGGGGGCTTTCTTTTTTGAGGATCTTGACGAACTTCGAGACCTCCCTCTATATAGTATCATAAGCTTTATTAAAGGTTCTGGATGGTTTTAGCCCATGGATTCTAAATAATACGGTATCACAATGGGCCTATAAGCCTAAGTGGATCCCCCTGGGATCGCCGGTATAACCTAACCTAATAAGTAAGACAATGGTATACCGCAATCTATAAAGCTTATTGTGCTAAATTGATAAAATAACAGATAGTACAAGTTTGAATTTGAAAAAAATTTCTAATGTAATTTATTTGGTTTCATAAATCTTTAAAAAGATAATTTTAAAGAAAATATGTGTATATTAAATTAATAAATTATCATACCAGGTATGAAAAATGTTTAAAGGCGCAATTTCTATTTCTTTTCGTTAAGGTTGTAAAAGTGCTAAATAAAAGCAAGAAAATGCTATCTTTTTACTTTTTGTAAAATAAGAAACAGGTAATGTTTTATCAAATACCAAAAAAACCATCAGATCGGATTACTTATTAACTTATTACTTATTAACAAATATACATAAAATATACATATACATATACGACTTATCGTGTACCCTGTTACATTTTTAATAAATTAGGTAATGAAAGTGCATATTTCACCGATTTTTAAGATGATTCCTGCCACAGTCTATTTCGCCTCTTATAGAAATAATAATAAATAATTTTAGGAAGGTTTTAGCAAGGTTATCACAACGAACCTAACGATCTACTTACATCTTATGGCTCATTATGTTGCCATGAATTAGCTCGTAATATTGCTTTCTTATAAACATTTTCAACATTTTTGTTTCAAATAAGTTGCACTACAGGCAAAACATTCACCCATATTTTTATAAATTTATTTAATATTTGCTAATATTAAATAATGTTTCATAAATTAAAGTTACTCACGTAATTTGCTCACCAGGAAGTCATTGCGCTTGACAAAAACAAAAATTCAAAAAATTCGTCTAAGTCTGAGCGCACGAAACCAAAAATTATGGCTACCTTCAAAAATATAAGTACTGCAGAGCTAAGTAAAAAGAAATTAGAAAGGCTTTGAAACGCAAATCTGTGAGACACCTGTGCTCTGCTAACCCAACAACTGATGCAGTGATAAGCTTTAATGAATTTGGCTGCATTGGCATGGGTAAAGTAAGTGGTAGTCATTTTTTCTGAAGTGCAATATTTTTCCGCAGCTACAATTTTGTGATGCACTAATTCATTGCAATGAAAATCAGCTTTTTGGCTACAATCATCAGAAAACACGTTACCAACAATATTTTAAGCATACAACGTGACTTCAATTAAAGCCAGTATAATTTATTGCCATAATTGATGAAGTGTTCATTATATAATATCAGAGTATTCTGTATACATGAATACTTATTTGTATATATTTATTAATATATATATATATATATTATATATATATATATGTATATGTTCATTCTTACAAGATATAAGTAAATAGTAAACATGTCTAAAGCATAAAGTTTCGTATGTAAATTTTTAAAATATTAATGAACTTATATATACAGTGATTTCGGTTAGCTTTCGTATCAAAAACTTAAAAAATAAAAAAAAAATCAGATTAGGTTATTAGGGATAATAGGGATAATAGGGATTCACTTAAATCTGTAGATCGCTTTGGTTGTTGGGGAAAGCTCAAAAAGTTTGAAAACATTTCGAACATCACATAATAATGAATCCTAATGTACTCTTCAGCTGAGTAGGTTCCTAAAGAAAAAGAAAATCTCCAAAATATTGTGTTATTACATACCAGAAAAATTTTATTTTTACCAAAAAAAAAAGTTATTGAAGAATAAAAGCCTGCCTGAAATATTCACTAGCAGTTAGAGTTCATTAGGTAAGAGTGTTAAGCTTAAGCTCAACCATTTATTCATTTTTGACCGCCTCTTCTATTTTGAATAACATTTTAGAACTTTGCTAGCACAACAGAGAAGGTTCTTAAAGAACTTTTCACATTTTCCTGGAAACAAAATTATTCTCTGATTATTCCTATCAAACTAAAAGATTTATATGCTAGAAATTCATACCAACCACCTGCTTCAAATAAAGCGGAATAAACTGAGTAGTGCTGATAAGTCACTGCATATTAGAAGACGAATAAAAAGACTTGGTCTACATTCTAACGATTTTTTCCGGAGTGTAACCTTTCTTCATTGCATATGTTAGTGCCCATAATTAGCTAGGATCAAATTTAAGATGTTCACGGCCTCTTTCTTAACTGACCTGACAGAGCTGTCATTCTTGAAAGTAGGCTATGCCTAGTGGTTACTCAGGTCTGGCATACTGATAGTGTTTCGGATATTTGTACTTAAATAAGCTTTACTGCACAACGCTGTCACTCCAACGTCACCTAACCAAATGAAGGATAAGAGTTTTGAATTTCGTTCGAAACTTCTCACTCTATGATTGCATTTCATTAAACTTCCATGAGTAAAAACAATATTAGAAATATTTCGTTTAACATTCTCAGCACTATGTTCAGTTGGAGCACACACTCTATTCAGAAGTCTATATATATATCTTTCACTCTACATTTTCTGTTTTCATTTTAGTTTTATCATTTGTAATTTAACTATTCCTTTCGGGTCTTATCTACTGTTATATTGTTGAAGTCTCAATTCACTTTGCAGAATTCTTCATGCTTATTCAAAAGTTAACATTTTTGAAATTCCATTTTTAATAAAAAAAACTAGAACTATAATTACAAAACTGCACGTATGTATATTAAAAAATTGTTAATCCATTTTCAAAAATACAAGTTTATTACTAAACAAAAATTCATGTCAGATTAAAAGGCACTCAAAGGCAGTTGGATTGCAGATATAATGGTGTGTTTATGTAGTTGTTTCGGCTTTGTTTATTTGTTATAATTATTGCATGTTTTATGACTTCTAATGCGATATTAAAAAATTGCTTTTATGATTTTTTAATTATGCGCTTAAACGTAATTAACTAAGTATTTCATCAGATTAAGTGCAGAGTTGCCACAGTAAACAAAAATTTACTATTCTTACAAATGATTTTATAATCAATTGTGGTAGTATCTAAAATTTGTCATAGATAAAGCTTTAAATATAATTATTGCAGAATGCAAGTAATCAATTAAGATACAAATTGATTATTAAACAAATTCCTGTGAGATTGTTGCATACAGTAGATGAAGATGAAGATAAAGATCAATGATATAGTGATTGTCGTGAAACAAATTGTTATTGGATACAAATAAATAATAAATAAAAATAATTATTAAAAAGTAAATACAAATACAATAACCAAGATAATTTTTAATATTTAATAACTTAATTGTACCAAAAAATATGCCAATAATATGTATATAATAATTAATACTTGACCGATTGTAGGGTTCGAAAGCAACGCACATCAAAAGTAACGCACATAAGCTTTTAAAAACCGTTGTTAATCTCAGCAATTCAAAGATTTTGCAAAAATTTTGCAATCATAGCTGTTGTGAGTCTAAGTTCAGTTGGCTTTATCACATGTAATGGTTGCCAATAAATCAATGATTTTATATCTTAGAATTTCATAGGAAAAGAGCACATCCAATAGCAGCTTAACCAGTTAGAAATAAAAATTTTAGCATTTGATTTGTGTTTGCTAAAAAAATTACAACATAATTTCCTGTTAGTCTTGTCTGAATTTTGTAACCGCAACGCATGTACAAGGTCTTCAATGATAAAACTTAAACAAACGAAAAAACTGAAACATCGGAATTAGTGTTTTTATAGATGATTTTAATAAATATACTTATTTAAAAACATTTAATTGGAATATTTATTAATAAATGCAATAAAAGAGTTTGTGAAACTGAACATATATATGAACATGAGCATATATACAACACATAACATTTCAATATGTTATATATACATTTAAAAGATTTTAAGTAATTTTGAATAAAAAGTTTAAATTCTAATCCTTTATTCTTCAATCACTAATTTATTAGTAAAAGAAATTACAAGCGCAGGGATTTATAATTGGGTTATCTCAAATCAGTGTTATCCCTTGTAATTTGTTAATTATTCTTCCGGTCTCTTAAGACAATGTTTTTAAATGGATTATACTTGGTCTGCGCGATCTCATACATTATATAAGAATTTTATTATAATTTTCCATGATATCTTAAATAAACTGCTAAGAAGTACTTTGTTTTTCGTTTTTGTTGTTACACATCCATTCTCTAAGTGATTTAGTATTGTTCATAGTGAATTCTGCTGTGATACATTTATTCCTGATTCCAGCTATATACACGTTATTTTTTCAATAATAAGTCCGATATATCTCCAACATTTTTTAATAATGATTTTTATATATTTTTTATACGGCTATATGTCAGTTTTTGTTGAAATTAAAATTACTTTTGATCTTCATCCTGATGATGACTCTCAAGGAAAGTCGAAATATAGATGACCTATAGCCGGATAAAAAATATATAAAAGCTTTATTAAAAAACAGGTCCATAATTAATTCAAAATTTAAAATTTTTTTATATGCTGTTATAGAACATCATAAAACTTTGATCAAATCGGTGCTCTACATCAAATAATTCCTCGCAAAGCATCTACAGTAAGAGAACAAAAGATGTGTTGTGGTTGCAATGCTACTGGTGGTCCATAACGCTGTTATTATTTACAACACATATATACTATGTATACTATATTTGTGTTCTCTGGCATGTTTTTTTTTTCTTGAAATTTGTGTATTAACATTAAATGACTTCTATGTATGTAAAACAAAACATAAATTATTTTCATAATAAAATAGTCGTACTCTTAAATATTAACACTTTAACAAGTACTTGAGGCTATTTGATTTGGCATGCACGTACGGCAAAGTCTTAGCGAATTTGCATGCGATTTAATTAAATCACACACTAATGGAAATAATAATTCATTTCTTTAAAAAATAATTAAGCAAAACTCAATTGCAGTGCCTAAATTAAACCATATCAGAAAGCACCTTCAACTCTTAGGTTATTGACTTCTAGGTGCGTATCTAAAATTTTTTATCCAAATTAGTTAAACGCATAACTCTGGTATGTAGCCTAAAGCTTGTACACAGATATTTCTTGAACCAGTATGGCTTCGACACGTTTGTCAAATTACCAAATATATTTTTGTGAATGAGAGTAACTATAACGATATCCATATTATGGCATAACAAGTATGGTTACTTTATATCCAAAATTGACGTTAAAAAAATCTTCCTGCGCTTAATTATTAATCTGCTACCAACCTTGTGGGTGTGGTGTGAATGAAACACCTTCTCAACTATTATTGAAATTAAGATATAACGATTATTAACCTGATTAAGAATATTTTGGCTGCATTATATACGCCTAAAGATTTTACTATTATTAAAAAGGATATAACTATTTATTTTTCTCAATTATAACGATTTGGTGAGTGCGTGCGTCACCAAGTAACAACTTACTAATAACATTCAATGGCAATATATCTTGTAAATTCAGTATCAGCGTTCATAAGTCGTATTTTACCATTAACCACAGCTGTTGCACTTCAACCTAACCCCTCTAAGTTTTTTCAGATATCAATTCCGCTACACTTAAGTGTGTCGCAATAATTTCCGTTATATTTATCTCTAGACATTTTTTTATGTAAATTAATTTTCTAACTCTGTAATTTATAAAATGACAAGTACAACAAATTTTATAAATGACTTTTTGTGTTTTATTTTTATTTAATGAAAGAATTATTACAAAAACTCGTTGGTTGCGAATTGAAATGCAGGCAAGCACCAAAATAAGCTATAAACATAAATATATACACTTTAAATCACATATGTTTTATATATATGTATATAATATAATTTTTGACCAGTTGCCTTTCAAAATATTATATTTTTTTATTTGGATTTCATTAAGTGTTGATACACAACCCCACAAGTTTCCTGAAGGTGGTTTTGTACCAGTCCACCGGCAGTATTTTCAGTGCTAAGGTAACAATATTGGTGACTTATTTAGAAGGCATTTTATTAGAATTCTACAAAATAATATAAAATGTCTGAATGTTTTTTCTGAGATGAAATACATATACAAAGGTTCTAAAAATATTTGTCAAAAATAAACCCTACAATCATTATTTTGGGATGTAGAAATATCATTGGCTTTTATGATGAAGTTATTATTAAACCATGTTTCAACAGAACAATTTATTTAGCCTATCAATACCATAAATGGCCATTTAAATGACGTTAATTATATATATATTTTTATAATCTATGACATTTTTCGGGGAATAAAAATTTTTTAATCGCTGTCTTCAATTTCTTCCATAGACAGTAGTCTAAAAGCATAGAAAGCGGACGTTTAAAGTTTGCAAGTAAGAATGTACTATAAATCAAACCAACCTCAGTGGTAGCTATAAATGTTGTGCTGATATCTCTAATATTGCGTTTACATTGGCCGAAAATGGCTCATTTTGAATGAGCCATTTGAAAGTGTTTACATTCGTTGTAATTCGTTTGTTCTCATTTCAAACAGCTGATTTTTCAACTTGCTTGTTGATTTGATTTTGGCCTGTGCCAAAAAAATATTGCTTAAAGATTAAATATGCTTTCAAACCTTACAATATAAACTTAAAACATATTTTTAACTTCGATTAATTACCTTTTGGGAAGTAGAAGTTCTAAAAAGAGGTGCATCGTTTTCAAGAAAATGCAACCACCAAACATTTGTTTACCTTTTTTTGTAAACATGTCAAAAACAGCTTTCTCAAACTGTGAAAATGCCATGAAAGGCTTTTATTTAGGGTATGTTCAATGGATTCCCTTGCATTTGGAACATATGTGGAATGCATTCGAACGTCTTTCATACAGAATGTGAGAAAATTGCTCATTTTCGCGCTTGAAATTTTATATGCAAGAATGAGCCATTCGCTACTCATTTTCGATTTTTGACCAAAATGAGCCATTTTCGGCCAATGTAAACGCCATATAATACCTTTGAAATCTTAAACGAAATTTTATTCTATGCGGAGCATAAGTACTGTACTTAACGAAGTTTTATCACTTAAAATGTTAATACAGACGTACTGTCGTTTTCGTAGTTTTAACGTTTATACAGCTTTACCTATAGAAAAACTATTATTATTAGCTTTTAATTAACTATTTCATAGTATCTTTGGCTTCGTTTTAATTGTATTAGTGCTGTGAGCTAATTGACACTTTTCTAGTGCTGTTAGCTGACACTTCGATTTTAAATAAATTAATAGTATTTATAAATATTATAAATGCTGTATAGGGTCGTACTTCGTAATTTTTACCTATGCAGTATAGCGCAGTACAATTTTTTGATTTTATGACTAAATTACTTGTTAGCTTTTTTTTCTTATGCCCTTAACAATTTTAAAGTTCACTAAAATATTAATTTATTAATAATACCAAGTAATACTCTTGTATGAGTCGAACTTAAGATTGTAAAGAAATTGTGTGATGTGTAATTTTTAATATATATAAATTTATTTTATAAATATATGTAATATAATAATATCGATTTTGTCGCATATAATTTTAAATATATTTAAATTTCATTATATATATAAACGCAAATATTCAAACAGTTTATCTTACAAAAATATTTTAAAAAAACATTTAAAACTTTTTATCTAATACTGAATCACGATTTTTCATTTTAATTTGTTAATCAATTAATCATTGCATTATTGAGGTTTTATAATCTTACATTAACCAATAAATGGAAAGTCAGTGCCTTAAATGCTGCCCTTTTTGCTGTAGGGCATCATGAAATCATGCCAACAATCTCGCTTGCATTTGATGTTGACACTAAAATCTTTACAGACTTGCCACACTTTATGTTCAATAAATCTTTTCAACTGTCATACAAAATTTTTGTTGGATTTTGCAACTTCTTTGACAAGTTTTAGTTTAATTTTTAAGCTGAAATTAGTTCAAAACAGATTAGAAATAAAAAAAACATATGAAAAATAATTTAAGCCAAGTTAAGGAAAAAAACCCACGCGACTTGGTGCCATGCGACAAACTAAAGCAGTTTTTAGTTTTTTCTGGAAAGAGGTCTACTTCAAAAGTTTTCTGCTTGCAATTAAATAACAAAAAAAAATTTATTAATGCAATCGTATATATGTACATATGCATAGTATACAGATGTATATATATATTAAAGGAAATGCAGTATGAATTGCAGGCAGTGATGTATTGTTTGAAGACATTGTTGGTATCCCATGAGGTTTATTGCTTATAAAAGTCATACATGTACCAGAAACCACCTACAATTTTCAGCATCCATTACTTTCAGCTACTTTCGAGGTTTATGTATATACAATCTAATCAACATCAATATTAGGTATATAAAACACCCACAATCATACACCAAAACAACTTAATTCAATTTGATCTATTTTATTAATTAAAAATATTTTAAATGCAGTACTTAGCAGGAGTCAGACTACAGTCAAGTACTGATTATTTTTGTTAAAAATTTCGTTTTTTAGTTTTTTAATTTTTAAACAAATTTTTATATCTAAAGTACAATGACCTTTCATTTGCAAACATTTTTTTCAAATTATGCACTTATTTTGCTAGAGTGCCACATGCCACATGCCACACTAAAAGCAACACACTTTCAAAATTGTCATAAAAAATTATATTGCAGCGACAGTTTCTGTTACATTTCGTATTCATTATATAAACTTTATAATAATTTTAGTTGACCAACCCATTGAGATCCTAGCTGAACAGGTTTGTTCTCATAAAGTGAACATATAAATAATTTATAAAGTTTTTATACGCCTGCATATCGAAATTAGCTCCTGTAACTGCAAGCTTTGCATTATGCAAATTATATATAAAAATGAACTCATGGGTCAATAATCCACAAAGATGATAAGATTACAGAAATTTAAAAGCAATTGCATTAGTAAATTATTGCATATTTTAAAATCCAAATTAAAAATAGATTATATTTATTTAATTTAATAGTTTTATTTCGAAAGTTTTAAAAAAAACTTGCAATTGAAGTAAAATTCAATTCAATTATTTCCACGGATTAGCTAAGAGGGATCAGAAGAAGCAGATCGATACTAATTGAAAATAGTGTGGATCAAGGTTAAGGGAGTTAGCTATTCAATGGGGTACCTCCATAAATTAGAAGGGCTTAATTTAGTATTTATATTTAGACATGGAAACTAATAAGCAATTTCATTAAAAGTTGAGCTGCGGTTATGGCACACATTGGGATATGACGTATTTGTACGTGGCAAGTAACTGTTACCGTATACGTATATCCCAACTTTAATTGAGCTAAAACAGTTGTAGCTGCACTAGTAATACATGCTTTATACCAAATTTCAGTCGGATGACTGTTGAGAACTTCTTCTGCACTTTTGTTTTCTTCACTAGTAAGAATATTCTTGTCTGCTTACTCACTTGCTGCTGTCCTTCTATCCTAAGGGCAGCATAGAGTCTTAACGATTCCTCTAAATCTAATACTGTTGCCTGCTTCTCTCGTGATTTGGTTCCAGGAGTACTGTGCGTCTTTACTGTGCCATGTCTTAGCTGGGGCTCCATACCGGCGGTTGCCTTGTGGGTTCCAGCGTAGGGCTTGCGTGTGGCCAATCCACTTTGCGAAAGATATTCTTTCTTCTATGACATTGATATCGTTAACTTAATTTAATTTAAAATAGAATTTATTTATTTTGTCTTTTTAAATACATTTACAATTTCATAGGTTAAAATTTTTCTTAAATTACTTATTAATATGCGACGAGGAGTGGAGATCCCTGTTCAATTAACAGTCGGTCAAACTATTTTAATTTCATGCTTAAGGCAAAGCCCATAAAATGGATTTTCACGTTTTAACTTAGTCAAGAGTTACCTGTAAATATTTCGTCATCAAAGCCAGTTTAACGATGCCATAAAAGAGTTATTGGCATGATAAAATGATAGCAACTAAATGGTTACAATTGCTCTTAACAAAAATATCAACAACTTTGTTGATATTAAGATTTATTCTTTTTATTTCATTGGATTTGCAATTCTCTTGCATAAAATTAGTTTTAGAGCAGCCATTAAAACCAACAACCTACCTGTAAGGTTGCCTGGTAATTGAAGATGGTACCATAGTTCCATTTGATATTTGAAGTTGCACATGTTTTAGCAAAAAGGTCAAACGTGAGTTTGGTAGCAAAACACATTTGCGGTTATAAATGAGATAAATCGAACAGCTTTGAACAGTTTAACAAAAAAAAAACATTATATATAAATAATTGTTTTGATATTTAAAGAAATAAATTTAAACAAAATAGAAAAAATTTACAAAAATCTTTTGTGCAAAAATTGGAACTGCAATTTGTTATTTTATTGCTTCTTTTTTTCATAGCAGTTTTGATTATTAAAAAACAAATTCTTTTACAAAATTATTTTACACCTATCAAGAAATAGTATTTATAAACATAGCAAAATCTTAACTTTATTTCAAACTGTTATACACATTTGATAAATATAAGAATTATTATAACAGTTTTGAAATACATTTCGAGATAGTTATAATAATAGTACAATATAATGATATAAAATAAAAAAATGCATTTTTAATTATTTTCACAATAATTTATAATTATAAGAAACATCTTAAACCGTTTATTTGTATTTTAAAAATAAGGAATATAGAGTGTTTTATTGTTACTTAACTATAAAAATCCTTTGTAATGGATACTTTAAAAAAATTAATTGAACATCATTAAAGCTACCCGGTAAACCGCTTACAAACTAGATTTCATTATAACAGTTATAAAAAGATATACTTCATTAAAACAGTTAAAAAATATTTTCAAAAATAACACTTTTGTTTTAATAAATAAATCTAAAGTTTTATATAAAATAAAAATAAACTATATTTATCTTTCTTCAATGTTTATAACTGTATATACCTTAAAATCAATAGTCTCATTATAAAAAAAGAATAAAAATTGCTTTAACAATTTTATAATAGTTTGAATACACACCAAAATTTATAGTAAGCAGTAATAAATTTTTTAGTTTTTGAATTATTATTATTATTATTATTATTATTATGCACATCAACTTGAATGTATAATTAATTCTAAAAAAGTACCTTTTTAAATAAATAATTATTTATATTATATTTACTGTATAAATTATATCAATGTAATTATAATTCTTCTATATAATTATTACAGTTTTAATAAGTGTTATACTGTATTATAACAATTGTTGAATATTTAAACTCTCATTCTTATTAAAACATACAATAAGACAATAATTGCTATAATTAGTGATTCTTAAACTATATGCTGTATTATATTATATATATTATACAAAGACAATATTTAAGGATTTGTCAGACATGACTCTTTAAATTAGTTACAGTTCAATTGAAATAATACTTTTATTTATACTGTTTTATATCAAAACCAACAGCTTCATCTGTTTCTATACCAATGTCATCAATTAACGCTTTTTTTGATTTTGGATATCCTTCCATGATGGCATCTAGCATATCATTACATATACGTTTACGTTTGCGCAGTGCATCTACCAATTCATTATAATGATTTACAATCTTTTTCGCTTCGGCTGATGTGAACTAAAAATATATTTGCTTTTTTTAATATTATTCAACAATTTAAATCATTTATTGCAATGAATCTTACTTCTTTTTGTTCTAATTTTTGTGCTTTACTACGT